AGCGGTATCTTTACGTGTTATACCTGGAGTGCATATGTCCACTAATATCATAGACTGTTGCTTATGTTTTGGGGCGTTGAAATCAAATTTCCCTAGAAATAATAGAGCAAATATGTTGTGAATGGAATTACTTTCTTAAATAGAGATGAAGTAGACCTAAACATGAAAATAAGCACTTTCTGAAAAGAAAATACCTTAGAACAGAAGGTAAAACAGAACAAAGAGACACCTTTTAAGAGTTCCTGGGTTGATTGTTGTGACACATGTGACAGATTTGCCATGATTATCGGATTTCAAATAAGCTCTAAATGTTGCTGAAGCATTATCTCACAGTTTTGACCGTATGGTGACATACTTGCTTGTTTGCAAATAGCTGTTATTAAGTTTGAAAAAAAAAAGATTCTAAATGGTCGAGAGTGAACTTACAGAAAAGGACAACAATAAGTAAATTTGAGCCTACAACATCATAGGTTAATGTAGACAATCAGAAGAAGCCATGAAATTATTGATTAGGAAGATGAATATGTACCTTATCATCAATCATGGTCATAGATTTATCTTCTTTTGTGGAGGTCATAGAGTTAACTTCGTTATAAGAACCTACAAATGTATTTATATTGGTGAAGAAACAAAGGAGGTGAAACGAAACTATATTAATGAAAAAGTAGTAAACATCATAATCAAATGATTTTAAGTGGGTGTTGATGACAACAATGAAACGTCGATTATGTAGAGAGTCGAATTGATAACAGACAAAGTGGAACAGTCGTAACAATCTTTGGAGAATTAGGTTAGCGAGGGGATATGGATTTTAAACGGGCCATTTAGAATTAGGTAATAGAAACCCACGGGTAGAGTCCGGTTAAATTGTGTCGTCAAAAATAGTCCGACGTGGCATGTTACATGTTTTTGATTCGTTGATTATTTTTAACGACGTGGCATAGCTCAAAGGACTTCGTATTCCCCTTTTAATATTGTAAGATGTGTCAGTTTCCGGAGAGAAATTTGTCTTAGTGTAGCGTTGGATTTATTTTACTTTTTTTTTTTTTTTTGATCCTTATAAAATCATTTCACCTTAGACTAATCTATCTTATCCATCTTTCTTCACCAATTGTTCAGTTTTATGTAGGTGGATATGGAGATAGCAACCATAAAAATGTCTAGAGGAAGCAACGGTTTTGACAATAAGAAGTCCAATGGTCAGAAAGGTCACTGGAAACGTTTCAAAGACGACAAGCTCAAGCAACTCGTGGAACAATTTGGTCCCCAGAAATGGAACATCATTGGTCTACATTTCTCTGGAAGAACATGTATATATATTTATATATCAATCTTTCTCATATTTTATACACATAAAAGAATCTATTTGTATTAGATCAATGTGTCTTTATAGATAATTTGAGTGATATGGATTCATAGGGAAAAGCTGTAGACAGAGATGGTACAATGAATTTGCTCCAAACATCAACAAGGAACCTTTCTCCAAGGAGGAAGAAGAGAGGCTTTTGGAAGCTCATCGGGTCCACGGGAATCGTTGGGACGTCATAGCCAAGCTGTTTCCCGGGAGGACTGATAGCACTGTCAGGAACCATTGCCATGTCACCATGGCTATATGCAAACGAAAAGTCTTATCTTCAACGCCCACTTCTCTGTTCAACCAAATCTGGAGCCCTAACTTTACTCTTCCAAGGCTAAGTTATTACCTATACCCGTTTCAGAGGTATCAGATGGACAACAGTCACGGTCCCTGGCCTTACACTTCTGCTTCAGCACCTAGGAGTGATCAGTTAGGATCTAATGTACACCATGAAATTGATCTTGACAGGGGAAAATCGAATCATCAGGCAGCTACACTAGATCATGAGAAGAACTCATCAGGAGAAGATGGAACATCCCTGATAGATCATGGTGAAAAGAGAGATGTTCCTTTCTTTGATTTTCTCGGAGTTGGATTAGATCTATCATTAGAGTTATAGTTTATATGTTTTATGGTCTTATCAATATATAGTTTATGAACAATCATGATAATAGTTTTCTGGGTAAAATGTTAAGTTGACATCATAATAGTTAACAAGATTTAAATCTTAAGCTGAGCCTGGCTCTGAGGACAGTCTTTTTCCTATCCTTCTTACTCACTACTGTTGAACAACCTGGATAGTATAGTATAGGTCGATATATAGTTGCAAGACATTATATCCATTCTCATTTATTTGCTTCGATCTAAAACATTTGGAACCGTACTGACAGGGGGCGGATGTAAGAAGGGGGTATGAGGGTTAGCTAACCCCAGTTCATTTTGAAACACATATGTATTTTTATAGATAAGTAATGTGATGACCCCAATAAAATATTATCTATGACCCCACAGAAATTCAAACATAATAAAAACAAAATGATAAGATTTAATGGGTTCACGGAAACCAATTTTCAATAACTAAACTTGGGTTCATAATAAATATAAGTCCATTTACATATAACTCATATAAATAAAAAGGGGATATCAAGTCTTGTGGGGGTGTCCACATCAGATTGAAAAATCATCCAATAGGGTTATCCCGTTTTGCCACGTCAGTGTAATTGCAGATTGATCCCTCGGTTTTTGATTTCTTTCACTCTGACTCTAAAGGCTGAAATTATGCAGACGGACCCTTGATTTTCGCCCAAACTTCTCAATTGTGCATATTAGGCCCTGTCAAATGTAATATAAAGACATAAATGCAACCTAGAATGATAATAATAAACTAAAATGTGAATCTAAAACTCATCAAAATCAAGAGATATCACCGGAATTTTGTACAGTAATATATTTTATAATTTTAAACAATTTTTTGTATTTTTGTAAATAAAATATTTAGCAGACATATGAAGATATTTTATTGTATTTCAGTTTATGTATCATTATTTTTGAAAATATTAAACAATTTCCTACAAATATACATTTTAATTATTTTATTCACGTAGTAATGTATTTATATGGTTAACACAAAGAAATCAAAACTGCTTTACTGCTGCTGACATACTATAAAGAGGTGAAATAAAATAATATATATTTTTAATCATTGGTATAATCATTTAGTTTTATTTTTTCCTTTTCACAGTGGGGAAGATTGGTTTATATACGTTTAAAAAATATTAGTTACATCAATTAAATGATGATATGAAATTATGAAACTGAATTTATAGAGCTAAAATAAATTAGTTTAAGAAATATTTGTGCCAAAAAAGGAAATAAAAAAAGTGAGAAACAAATTGAGACCAAAAGCTCAAATATAAAAACATGAACAAATCATGGAAGATAAAATTTCAAGAGATATCACTGGGCTTTTGTGCAGTAATATACTTTATAATTTTAAACAATTTTTCTATTTTTGTAATAAAATATTTAGCATACATGTGAAAATATTTTACTGTATTTCAGTTTATGTATCATTGTTTTTGAAAATATTAAATATTTTCCTCACAATAGACATTTTAATTATTTTATTCCCATAGTAATGTATTTATATAGTTAACACAAAGAAATCACAACCGTTTACTACTGCTGACACACTATAAAGGTGGTGAAATAAAATAATATATATTTTTTAATCATTGGTATAATTATTTAGTTTTATTTTTTTATTTTCACAATGGGGAAGATTTGTGTACTGACGTTTAAAAAATATTAGTTATGTCAATTAAATGCTGATATGAGACTAGAAAACTGAATTGGTGATGGGGGTGTTGAATAAAAATTCAACAGTTGAATCACTACAATGAAGGTGTTGAAAAATGAAATTTGATGATGTGGATTAAACTATGTTGAAAAGATTCAACATGTTTAATAGGAAAAAAGTGGGGTCATCGATGACACATGTCACTTTTTAAGAATTTTTAATATTTTCATATCCCCTTACTTATTTAAAATCAATAATCTTGTTAGAAATTAAATAATTTATTTTTATTTCTTATACAGAAATTTAACATTTTAAATTCTCTATAAATAGATATTAGATTTATTTATTTTGAATATATAAAAAATAATTATTAATCAAGAAATTAGGGTATTGAATTTTATTAAACAAAACCATTATAGTGGATAAAAGTTAAATGTGTGTTGAATAATGAAGTGGAAGAAAGAAAAAATGACATGCAGTACTAAAAAAATGAAGCGAAGGGTGTTGAATCTTTAAACTATGGTTGATAGTCTTAATCAAGCTGCAGAAGAGACATGCTCATGTAGGACACGCATCCTGAGTCTCTCTCTCTCTATATATATATATATATAGTTTATTCGCGAAGAAGAAAGAAGGAAGAAGAAGCCATGGCAGGAGTAGGATTGCAGTCACACCACTCTCCGTCTCTTTGGTCCGTTTCTCCTCTCTCTCTCTCTCTGGCCAAATACAAAGGTTAGAGTTTCATCCTTACCGACAAAAGATTCCAGATTTTTTGAAATTTTCTTTAAAATATTGGTCTCTTCTTTCCCCGCCCATTCTCTTGATCTTGTCTAGATTTCTAGACAAAAGGACAAAGTTTTTATGTTTCTTGATACATATTTGGTTTTGTTTATTTTTGCTGTCTTGCAGAAGCTTTGTCTGGAAGGGTCTTTGATTGCTCATTACACCTCTCTGCTAATTTAATTTGTCGACTCTTCCCTGTTTTGAGGTGTTACAGAAGAGAAGAGAATGGCAGGGTGTGCAATGAATTGTCAATTCTCGAGTGTTGTGAAGTTAGGAAACGAGATCACTTCGTTGAGGTTGATTCGCAATCGAGACTTTGCATTTGGAGGTTTGATTAAGAAACTGAAAGTCCCTGTTTTGAGGATTAAGGAGCAAAGGTCAAGGCTTTTTTGATGGTTAATATGTCGCATCAGTATCCAGTTGAGCCGTTATCATCTAGTGTTGTTGCCGCTACTGAACAAACCAAAGGAGTAGTAGAAAAAGAAGAAGGTGGTAGCATCTTAGGGCAAGGCGACAATGTTGGAAGCTTAGGAAATGATGAACCTGCGAAACTTGTAAGTGATGGTGGTGGTGGTGGTGGTAATGGTGGAGGTGGGGTGGAAGTGGAGGAGAAGGTGTCAGTGCGGTGGAGAAGACTATGAAGAGAAAGAGTTTGGACCACTTTTGAAGTTTGAAGAGGTTATGAGAGAGACTGAAGCTAGAGGAGCTACGCTTCCAGCTGCTAAGACCTTTGGCATACGCAAGTTGATTCTCCTTAGGTACTTGTTTTTGCATGTAGGTACACATTCTTCTCTTTGTTTCTATTTGTTATTGTTTCTATTGAGTATTTAGTAAAGAAGATCAAGGTTACAGGCATGATATGACGTGGAGAGGAAGCTAATGCCGTTAAGGGATCAACTCACGTGACTTATTGAGATTGCAGGACCACAAGAGTGTTGGTTTTGTCTCAGTCTGACAAAGCAAAAGCAACACTTGTTTTGTCTGCTTCCTAACAACAAGTTAATGTTGTGTTCATTAGTGAAGAGTACGGAAGGAGCGTGTCCAGCTGGAACATCTCAAGGTGAAACTAGGTCAAGTGTGAGTTGGATATATATTGGTGGTCTTAGCTAAAAGAGAGATGGAGGCGATTGAACAAGAGAGAGAGAGAGCATTTTTCAAAGTATAAACTTGTAAGTGTTCTTGAGAGATTGTAAGCTACGTTTAAACCAAGATAGATACTGAAAAGGTCTTGAGGTTAAAATACACTTGTAATCTCTGTTATCTAGTAGATTCCGGGAGTGAGTTCCCGGCCCAGACTAACACCCTCTTTAACGGGTGTAACTGGGTTAACAATCTTGTGTGCATCGCTTTGTTCCTTCTCTTCTGAGTATGTGCTCTGTTTTCTGAAGTCTCTATTACCAGTAAAGTCCAAAGCTTGTAACTTGATTCTCGTTTCTGTGTGAAGTTCTTTGTCTTGGTGTGTGTGTGTTGCTGTTTGCAGACAAATGAGACGTCCAAAGGCTGCAGATTTCTTCACAGTTTCCTTTTATGGAGTTAAATAGTTTTAAGACAAGGGTTTTGAGTTTTTGGTTTCCTTTGGAGTTTAGAGTTCAGCTGGTCTGGTTGGTTTTGCTATAAGATCGTGGTCTATGCTTCCCAACAGAATGTTGGCTGATCCTTCTTTCCTCTTCAAAATAGGGACTGGGGTAAGTGAGCTTTCATCTCAAGGAAGTTCATTTTCAGAGCCACATTTGCATGGGCTCATGTAAGCATTTGAGATGCCTCTTGCAGATAGTCATTGATTCTTGTTGTGCCACTGTTGCTGAAGTTCAAAAGAGAGGCAAAGATTTATGGGCTGAGTTTGAGTTGTATGTTGCTGATCTTCTTGTTGGAGTTGTGGTTAACGTTTCTTTGGTCAGTATGTTGGCTCCTTTTGTCCGTTTTGGTCAACCATCTGCATCCAGTGGCTTCTTAGGACCCATGCTTAATGCTTATAATGCGCTTCCTAGCAGGTAAATGAAAAATCCTTCCATTCAAGAAGATAGATACTCAATGCTTATAATACCTGCTGACATCTTGTAACTCTGGTTGCTTTGCTACTGACTGATGTGCAGCGTGTTTTAAGCTGAAAGACAAGGATGTAGATTTTCTGCTCAGCAGACACTTGCTACACACTTCTACAAGTGTATAATGTATGGTGCAGTTGGGTTTGGTTGTGGCATTGTAGGTCAAGGCATTGCTAATCTCATAATGACTGCCAAACGGTAAATACACACCTCTTTCCACTAAAAAGGACACTTAGTTTTTGTATGTGTCTTAAGTTCGTCATTCTCTTTCATCTAGTGAGCTCGGATGTTTTTTCGAATTATTCTCGATTATTGTACTAATCTTTCTTTTGAAGTTATTTTTAAAAATCTATGTTTAAATATTATCTTGTAATATGTTTTATTTAATAAATAAATTTTATGTTAAAAAAATGTTTAATAATTATACTACAGTAGCCCATGCTACAATAATCCCTGCTACAGTATCATAGGGACAGTAACTCCCGTTATCTGCTACAATGTCGATCGATTTTCTTGCTACAGTGTCGCTCGATAGTAGTGCTACAGTGTCGTCCGTACTGTTAATTTTTTTTCCTGAAACAAATAAAAACATAAATCAGTAATATATGAAAATAAAACCAAATTTAAAACAAACCTAACAATGGGTTGCCTCTCATTCAGTGCTTATTTTTAATCATTAGTTTGACTTATGGAGATATGATTCGGTTTGGATGAGAATGAGAACATGCTCCAAAACAAGTCTTGATGTCTACTCTCTGAAGCTTCATTATTCTTTTGTGAAAGCCTCTTCCATAGATTCTTCTCCTTTGTCTATCATCTCAGCAATAAGTAGTGCTCGCAGCTTTGCAAATGGTTGTAAGAAACATTTGATGTGCACTCTGGATTTTCAAATACATTCTGAGAAGTGAGGAATCAATGATAACTGAGGACTACCAGTAATCCTTTTTCTCTTTTTTTCACCCAGATTTTTCTGATTTTGTGGTGGTGTCTTGTTTAAAACGATTTCCACACACATCAAACCCATTCTGCTCTGATACGCGTCTAGTGTCGATTAACGATATGTTATCCGTGTCGATCGATGCTTCTTATGCTGGGATTTTGTCGATTTTAGCTCTCTATCTGGTGGTATAGAAAACTCAACTTCAAACACTGTGCATAGAATCACAATCTTCACATGGTCATATGTTATCTTCCCTCTTTAGTGAAACCAAACAGCTTCGTCTGCACAAATAGGTAATTTTTTATGTTTAAGGACAACAAGGTGTGAAGTCCCAGACTTGTACTCTCTTTTCTCAGTCGGCTCAAGTTCAGTTGTGTATCTTGCAATCCCGTCCATCCATGGGTATCGATCAATGTTCTCGGGTAGATGTCGATCGAAGGTCTCGGGTTGGTGTTGATCGATTTCATGAAGTTGGTGTCGATCGATGCTAGCCTTTGGCGATGTTTCCAGATCTTTTCTCTTAGTGCACTAATTGTCATCAAGCTTCTGCTCCGAGTCAAGCCATTATGCCAACTCTAAGAAGTCTTCCATAATGACTTTTCTATAATACTCCCAATCGTCAAGCTTTTCTCTATCCTTTATTTTCCAAGAATTCTTCTAGCTCAAAGAAATCATCCATGGTGATCTCTTTGTATACATCAGGATGAATAGTGTTGTAATGAATAGTATCCGGATGAACAGTGTTTTGGTGAATCGTACCAGGATGCATAGTGTTGTTCAGCGTCGAATGAACAGTGTCTATCGATGATAGATGATAAGTGTCGATCGATGGTGGATGAACAGTATCCGGTGAACAGTAATTCGATGAACAATGTTTTTGATTTGATGCTCTCATTTTGACCCGTACTAGGGTTCCAAACCACAAGTCAGTGTTTCCTCTAGTGGAGCGTAATATCAAACCGTCACATTGATAAATTTGAGATATTTTCACATATTTCAAATCCTTTACACCGCAAAGTTTAAAGGTGAACTCGATAGATGGATAAACACTGCTTTTATGAAGTTCATGGAAGTTTTCGCAGATTGAATAAACCTCAGAATGATTACTCAGTAATATTGACTCCTTTACTGCGTTACCTAACTATCTTGTTCTTTTCTACGAATCTCCAATCTCTGAATAAAGTGTACCATTGTTTGCATGTAGTTTTTAACTTAGCCGAAGATGTGGATGGAACCCTAGAGAGTATCTCCGCTTCTAGATGGCTTGGAACTTGGAAGGTCGGATATTAGCAGCATATTGTCTGTCCTCTTGTTGTTACTAAGAAGAAAGCTCATATATAAAGCTATGAGGGTGATTGGTTGGGTTATAAGTGCTGACTTTAGCTTTAATTTTTATCTGCAGCACTTAAATCACCAATCATGCTTTATCTTATTTTTTAAAGCTACAACCAAAAACCAAAAAAATGGTTATAAAATCCTTATTTTCTAAAGCCACATCTTTTTGGTTGTAGAAAATATGTTGATGTAACAATAAATTTTAAAACTACATCTTTTTACAGCTAAATCAAAAAATTCTATAGACTAATTTCTACAGTACAAAATTTACAACTACAGTTCAACCAATCATCCCCTATATCTGTCTTCAAATAAAACTTAGGGTTTAATTTATGGTCTAGTGGTTTGCTTACATAAATTTGTTATTTTTACACCTGAGAGCAGATATACATTCTCATAAATGTAAAATTGATCATTCTTTTATAGTTATATAGTTACTAAATAAAGTAAATTAAATGCTATAGTAATTAAAGCACCACCAAAACGTTAAAAGTAAAAGGGGATCAGAGATGAACCATGAAACCAGTTTGCAAGATTTGCTCAATTGATTTTTCGATTCTTGGCACAGGAATCTTTCCATTAATCTCGATATTGACTAAATTTAAAAAGAAACTATATAATAAACGAATATCAGATATCAATACATATAAAATCCCCTATATATTAATCGAGGAACATTTGAAAAGATGAAACCTCAATTTTGTATTAATTAAAAGAGGCCCCAATGCATAAATGTCATTCAATTAGGTAGTCAATTAGATTCAATTGAAAAATAAGTAAGTCTACATTGCATTTTTATAGGTTGCTAGATACATTAGTTAGTCAAACTATATGATATAATTATATGATATGCTATTTTCTTTCCATAAATAAAACCTACGGAATTACCATAAATGACTAATATATATATATATATATATGACAATTAATGATTGTTCCCTAAGATATAATTACTATTTTATTTTATTTCCATAAATAAAACCTACAGAATTATCATAAATGACTAATATATATAAATGACACTTAATGATTATAATAATAAATATTTGATAACAGTTTATATATCCTCCATCATTTTTCTTTAATTTTATATTATTAAAATAAATTAAACAATCAAATTAGCTATAAAATTAAACTTTAGATTTTTTCGTATAGGTTATATTTTGAATTTTAAGAAACGAGAATAAATAACTAAACTATTAAAATTATTATGTTAAAAATTAATGATCAATNTTTTCTTTAATTTTATATTATTAAAATAAATTAAACAATCAAATTAGCTATAAAATTAAACTTTAGATTTTTTCGTATAGGTTATATTTTGAATTTTAAGAAACGAGAATAAATAACTAAACTATTAAAATTATTATGTTAAAAATTAATGATCAATAGTTTAACATTTTATTATAAAAAGATATACATGATTTTAAAATCATTTAAGTAAAAAGTATCATTCAATAATAAAACAAATATATATATACAGATTAAACTATATACCATATAAGATTACATAAATATTTTAATTTCAAAATTTTCAATAAATTTTCAAGAACATTTCTAAATTATAAACTTATTAAATTTTTCATATTGAAATTTTTTGTTATCAATGATTTAAATATCTTAGTTCTTTTTTTAATTTATATTTTCAAAAGATATTAACAATCGATAATATGGTTATTTTTGGTATATACCATATAAACCGAATGGATGTGATTTTATAAAAACCATAGGATTTGGATATGGTTTGATTTATTATCGATTAAACTGAAACATGTAAATATGTATATATTTATAACGACGCATGAATATCTATTTGTAACATGAGTTGAAGTATAATTATAATTTGTAAATAGCTAACGATTTATTACAACTAAGACTTCTTATTTTGATCTTTTGTTTTTTAACAGTAACTAAATTGAAGTAAGGATTATAAATTTGATGGACAACAATTAGTTGAAATTCTTTACAACTTTTTTTTTTATCTTTAAACAAACAGAGTTGTGTTCAATCGAAGACATATTGGTTTGATGAACACTAAATATGGAAAAATATAAAAACTTTTCTTTCATGCTTTTGTTTTGTTTTATTTTTATTTTCAAAATTTAGTGTTTTGATATTAATTCCAGATTTGATCATTTTATTAGATGATAGAAACTTTTTTTGTTTTTTATTCTTTTATTTAAATATATAATATTTTTTTAACAAATGACTCTGTGACAATATGACTCTAAATATGATCATATTATATATTTGTAGAATATATAATATGATCTCAAACTAAATAATTATGTTTTTTGGTATAAAATTGAATAAACTGAAAACCGATGGTATATAAACCAAATCACACTGAAGTACATATAAATTTAGAATAGTAGTTATATTTTAATGATCGAAATACCAAACAATCGAGTCGGACCGAAACCCGATATCCAGATTGAACACCTCTAATCCGAATGAAACCGAACTATTGTTTCATTTTTAAAAACATAATAAAAATAATAGCTTTATCCCGCGCAAGGTGCGGGTCTTATCCTAGTTATGAAATATATAACAACAATATTATTCTTTCGATGACTTTTTGACAGCACCGCCTTTGTGGTATCCCACAAAAAATATTGACGCGTTTGTACAATTTAGATTCATCAAATATTCAATTACTGGTCGAAATAGATTCATCAATATTTAATTACTGGTCGGAATATCTTATCTAAACCTATTAAAAATGATCAAAAGACAAACAAAATCTTTGAACAAACGCGTTTCGCGTCAATGTTCCCTTCGTGCTCACATACTTAGCTAGTTAATTCCTATGATAATTAATAAGCAGAAATATCTTGAATAAAATTTAAACCTAAAATTGAACAAACTGTCAAAAATCTTAGCAGATAAAAGAGGATCGTTTCACACACTCTGTACAGAAAAGTTGGTGCGAGACAGGTAGACGTGATGCTGGATCGTCCAAACAAAAAAAAAATCCAACGTTTCTGCAAACTTAATTATTATGTAAATAATAATTATATATGTAGCAAACAAATCAAATATTAATGCATTTCCATCTTTTGGACAACTAGAATACATCAGACATATCACATATCCAACATTCCAATATTACGTTGTCATCATTATTAATATTAGTAGACTAAGTCACTAAGCAATACATATTGCAAATCAAAAAATATTTACATATTAAATAAAAGAGCTAAATATTTGCATAATATAGAAAAGGCTAAAAATACTTATATAAATCATAAAATATATACATATTATATATAAAAGTAGATAAATATTCAATGGACCACAGCTAAGAGATGCCTCTGTGTTTCTCTGAACTAATATCGACAAAAACGCAAAAGACACAGAAAACATTACAACAACACCACACTACTTCGCTACTTCAAACCCAAAGGCCCACAACTTTTCCTATCTTCCAAAATAACCCCATTACTTTCCGAGTTTATCAAATCACCCTTGATGACCACCACCGTCCGAGAGATAGACCTCACACTGTATTGAAGTTTTGCCAATCTTAAACCCTGGAACAACCGTGAACACAACACGTGGCTCAGCTTCCTCCAAGGCTTCCTCAGCAACACTTCTCATGTACACTTCAGAGAACCTACAACCTTTTGGTACTCGAAAGATCTCAGCTCCATGCTCAAAAGAGAAAGCCAAGCAATGCAGAAGCCAAACCCTTTTGGCCATTTCAAGAAACCCAGAGCATAAGCTCGTCTCAGGAAACTCACCAGCAGAGACTTGGTTCCTCATATGCAGATGTCCGAAGAAAGCTTCCTCCATCTTAGGATGTATAAGCTGCAAGAACTTGATCCTGCAGAACCTAGCAAATCTTGATTTAGGCCTTGCTTTCAAGTAATCTTTAGCTTTCATCGACCTGAGTTCTGTAAACCTCTCAAAGAACACTTCCCTCTCCTCTGTTTTTCTCTGTTTCTCCTCTGCTTTGTTCTGTTTCTCCTTCTTTTTGAAGCTTCTTGACTCGCTTGAGGTTGAGAAATGTGGTAGATGAAACGCTTCGAACATTACAGTGGAGACAAAGTGTTCGAAAGTGAAACACTTGTGGTCTTGCTTGTAATAAAACACACCCGGCTGGATCGAGTTAACAGCCATGGAGATATCCCATTTAGCGAGTTTCATCTGTTCTATCATCAGCTTGACGAATCCTCTGATGGATTTGACTGTGTGTTGCAGATAAGCAACAAAATGCGTTGGATTCAGCGCAGAGAGGTGAAGATTGTCTAAAGGATTGCAAAGCTGTCCGCTTTGGTTAAGTCTCTTCTCTGTCAACTTGTTCTGTTTCATCAGATCCTCAAGCTTCTCTCTCAGAAACAGAGTTTCTGAGTCTTTAAGCTTGTACTGACACTCAAGCTTCTTCCCCATTATCTCATACGTCTTCAGTAGACTCCTCAGCTCTTGAATCTCAGCGAGAACCAGTGTTCTTTCGGGATTCGGATCGATTTGTTTCTTCAAGAAACATTGTTTCAGCTCAGACAAAGTCTTCAGCTCGGACACAACCAAGTTGTCTGCCTTTTGAATCCCAATTGCGTCGTATGGAGACTGAGAATGCTGTAGCTGCGCGTATCCGGCTTTGATTGAAGAAACCGTAGCGAAAAGCTTTGCAAGAAGAGCTTCTAATGTTAGAGTTCTCTCATACTCTTCCTCAAGCTTGTAGAAAGACTCAGACAACTTTGCATTCTTGGAATCAAACTTTGTCTTCTTCATTTCCTCTTCTGGAGCAACACCTGTTAGCTTATGGATGTTGAGAACTTTAGCAAACGTGCGTCTGAATTTACCCACTGGTTTCACAGTCTCCATCTGTAAATCAATCAACAAAGAAAAGCTTAGTAGAGAGACAAGAGTATCAAGAACACAGTAACAAACAAGACAAGAAAAGCACCACAAAAGGAATTAAAAAGGAGAGGAGAGAGCTTGTAATGATGAATGTTTTGATACATAAAGAAAAAGAGCAGCAAGCTTTAATACTTGGATCAAGGGCCGTTAATGGAGGGCCACAAGCTTCTTTATGAAATATTCTCCAAATAGGACTTGCTTTATGTGCAGAGCTATATGAAAAAAGCTCAAAGTAAAAGGATGTTTCCCTCATGAAATATTTATTAAACAAAAGAGAGATCTATACGTATATTTTAAGATGCAAATAATACAATGGATACTGCTTTAAAATATTCAGTAAGAGTTGTGAAGACTTCATGGTTCATGCTTAGAAAATGCTATTTTCTCATATATTTATTTAATCTGTGGGGCTATTTAGTCAAAATGTGCTGCTACAGAACAAAATAATAATAAAAGATTGCACCCACACAGTCTCTGCAAAAACCACATGACTAATGCAGAATAAAAATCCATCTCTCTGAAAAGAAACATTGAAATAACCAAAACAAATCTGTATTTACCATGTTACAAAACCCTAAATGTGAAACAAGTACAATTATATATATACTATAGTGAAACCTTAAAACCAAATGCATGGGTAAAAAATTTAATTTTTAACCATTTAGAACAACAGGACAACCTTAAAGCCTTACAAACCCCACCATACACATTACACATTTAATACAATCAGACACAAGACCCACAACCTATCTCTTATTGTGGTTTCAGACTCTAAACGCACTAGCAACAGGCTATGTCGCTAACCAAACAGACCCTAAAGTAATTTTCTCATTTACAAACCCTTAAGCAGAGTGGTAATGAGAACTGAAGATTTGAACATAACCAGTGATTCATATTAAACAATCAAAGTTTGAAAATTTGCAGAAGCAAAGTTTCCTCATACAAACAAACATATAAAGTCAAAGTGTGTACCTTTGCAAAAGTTCCAAGCTTCTCTTCTGCTTTCTCTTTCTTACTTCAACATAAGAGTAAATCTGAAGAAAGAAACTTGAGAATCAGACAAAACCAACCTCTGCTTAAAACCCTGAGACCCAAGAACAAGGAAAGGGCATACAATTCAAATGAGAAAATTAAAAAAAAATCTTGTTTTTTTTGCTGTAAAAGAAGTAAGTACTTAAACCCTTTTTGAGAATGTGTATATATAAGTGAACACAAAAAAAAAAAACAATCAAAGCAATAATAAAATCGACATTATTGGTATTAGCTAACAACAATGGTGATTAGGCCCACTGCAAGCGGCATGAAGCTTACATTGTAATAATAATAAATTTACAGAAAAATAAAATAAAACTTAATAATAGAATCGAATCATTCACCAGAAACCCACATGAAAGTTACCAACAACAACCCTTGATTAGAGAAATTAATAATAATACTATACACACTCACCAAAACTAGATCTGTCTGTTTATTACCAACTAATCTGTCTCTCTGTAGGTCTAAAGCTCGATGAGAGAGAGAGAGAGAGAGGATGAGAGCTGGAGGGAGAGAGAGGCGAGGAAGAAGGAGAGTACAAGTTGTGGAGAATAATAATGTGAAATGGCGGAAAAGGGTAAATGACAGAGAGCAAACAGAGCATTGGGAGTTTCAAATCTGTTTTCCCAAAATACCCTTGAATCCCGATGGTATTTACACCGGCCGTTGTGACGAGATCTCGAGATGCGTGAAGGGTGTTTTTCGTCTTTGTGTAAAAAAAACAATTTGTAGCCATATGCTACATTAGCCTCTACTAGTATTCTGGTAGATTTGTTTGGGCTTTATATTGGGCTTATAAATGAGCTCAATAAGAGATTAGCTAAAAGCCTAAAACCTAAAAGCGTTTTTAAATGGGCTCAATTACTAAAACTTCCAGTTTTCATATGTAGTTGTTATCATTTATATTTATAGAACTGTAAAAATAATATATTTTAAATGGATTTAACCAACAAAAAAAATATTTTAAAGTTTGTAGAAGTAATAATGTTTAAGGTTGCCAAAATTGTATTCCAACTAAAAGTTTTCAGTCAACAATATAGGTTTTGATGTTCAAAACATTTTTGTGTTTCTTGTTCTTTTTGTCTTCTAATTTGGACCCCCAAAAATTAAAAGATTACGGGACCAGCTGATTGTATATAAAACAAATCGCTATCTGTCCTAAATTTCTCAAGATGACATATAACCAATTTTTTTTCTTCTGTTGATCGTTTAGGATATGAAAAAAAAAATCAATAGTCGATAAAAATAAATCCTCAGTTGATTACAGGTTGCGTCACAAATTTGTAAACTGTAATTGACCAGGAATATTCTGTCAAAAACCAAGATTGACTCAGATAAATTGAGGCACAAATGAAACTGGTCAATACCAGGTAATGTAAGAAACTGTCAAAGTACAATTAAAATGAACGCTGTATTTTTTTTAAAGAGAACTTTGTTATCAGATAACAAATAAACTGAAACTAAAAATCTTTAAAACGGCTTTGTAATCCAATCTGAAAGCGACAAGACCCATATAAACTACTACTGATAAGAAATTCTATGTATTATTAAATTATACATCTTTGAATTAATTTCATGTAAAACAAATGTAATAAAACAACTGTTGAAAAACGTTTTATTTTATTTTTTGGTCAAAACACTGACCACTCAATATTGGTGTAAATTCTATATTTATTAAATTTGAAAAGGTCCGCTGTGAACGCTATATTATATCCAACTCATAAATTGTTTTCACATACTTATATCAAGACCTGGATATTCATATGGTGAAAGACTGCTTCGAATATTCTTTTTTATTCCATCTCATGTTATTATTTTTGTTTTTTGGGTCAAAATGTTATTTTACACAAAACAATTCTTACTAGGATTCTAAAATTTGTGTAGGCGACGTTTAAGCGCACAAACAAAAAAAAATCGACTTTTTCAAAATATTTTTCTTAAAATCTGGTTTAAATCATTCTAAATCAGTTTAAATTGATCTTGATTAACTTAAATCTATTAGATTAAATAACAATACTAGTATAGATCCAAAATTAGTATAACTTATATATATATATATATAGAAACCAAGTAATTAAATATAAAAAATAATAGTCGACCAAAAAAATATAAAAAAATAATTTATCTTATATAAATATAAAATATGTACAGGGTATAAAATAAATAAAAATAAATCAATAATTCATTTTCTAAACTCCACTTAGATCTAAAATAAATTGATTAGTTGTTAGTCCTCTATAAAACGTCTAGTTATCATCTACCGATTTGTTAATTATTGATATTTATAATTTGTGAAATAGATCTTGTTAGGATATGAAATATTACGTGTGTAGCTTTTGTATATTTTCCATTATCTTCATATCCTAGATAAGGCAATACCCATGTATATATATACAATGTATTCTCATATTCATTAATTAATAAGATACATTCATTACATGGTATGAGAGCAAAGATCTAGTTGACCTAGTTTTTTTTTTCCTCTGTGCCTTTTTCGTTTCTTGCTCATCACACAAAACGGTTGCCCTCGTTTTTCATCTCTTCCGCAGCCGCTTCCTGTTCTGCACTTAATCCCACCATGCCAAGCTCAACTAACGCTGAACTGGTTCCAGTTTACAATAACGAAGAACCTTCTCAATCACTCATCTCCCTCAACATGTCAGGGATCACCAAGCTCACACCTACCAACTACCTCACGTGGAAACTCCAGGTCTATGCCTTGTTTGAGGCTCATGAGCTTCACTACTTCATCAGCGACACTGACCACACACCTGCAGCGACAATCACCAGTGATGGAATCGCTCAGACAAACCCAAAACATGCACCATGGAGACGTCAAGACAGGATTCTTTACAACTCCTTGATTGGAACACTCTCGCTCCCTGTGCAACCGCTAGTTGCTCGTGCAATCACTACTCGTGAAGTCTGGCTTACCCTAGCACGTACATATGGACAGCCATCCCGTGCTCACATCAAGCAAATCAAACAACAACTCAAGAAGACTATCAAAGGAACACTCTCCATCACAGAGTATATGCGAAACATTATCAGCAAAGCTGATCATCTTGCACTCCTTGGCTCGCCAATGGAACATGAAGATCTCCTGGACACGATCAATGATGGCCTCAATGAGGATTATAGAGCAGTGATCGACATGGTAAATGGCAAAGACACTCCAATCAGCATAGAGGAGCTCCATGAGAAGCTTCTCCACAGGGAAAACGCTCTTGCGACTATTGAAGCACCTGCATCACCTGCGTTTCTTCCTGATACCGCCAATGTTGCAGAGTACCGTCCACCATACAACAGCAACAACAACAATCCAACTCGTGGTGGATACAAAGGAAGCTCTCGTGGTGGTCACAGAGGTGGCTCCCGTGGTGGAGGCTATCAAGGAAAGTGCCAACTCTGTGGAGTTTTCGGACATAGTGCAAGGCGATGCACTCAGCTTCAGAGCTCGCCACAACAACAATATCGCGGCTCATCACCATACTATAATCCTTCTCCTCAGGTGCACTACACAACGTCATCACCACATCCATCATCGGATCCTTGGCTATTGGACAGTGGAGCATCACATCACATAGCTTCAGACATTGCCAATCTCTCGCTTCATAATCCGTACCAGGGTCAAGATGATGTAACCATCGGAAATGGCGCAGGACTGCAGATCACCCACACTGGTTCAACTCAACTACCTTCTAACTCTCGTCCACTCAACTTATCTAATGTTCTTTGTATTCCATCCATTAAAAAGAATCTCATCTCTGTGAACAAGTTGTGTAAGACTAACAATGTAATGGTTCAACTTTGCCCTTATGACTTTCAGGTGAAGGATCTCAAGTCGGGAGCAACGCTGATAAGCGGACCAGCCAGTGATGGAGTCTATGAGTGGCCTACCAAACCATCCTCCTCTGTTTTTCCTATTTCTGCTTTTTCATGTATCAAGTCCTCTCTTGTCAATTGGCATTCGAGGCTTGGTCATCCATCTTTAGCAATTCTTAAACGCATTATTACTCATTCTAAACTTCCTGTTTCTGATTTTACTTCTCCTTTTTTCTGCAATGCTTGTTCAAGTAATAAAAGTCATAAACTTCCTTTCTCTTTCAATACTATGCAATCGACTGGACCCCTTGATCTAATATACACGGATGTTTGGACCTCACCCACTTATTCTGTGATGGATACAAGTACTATGTGATATTTGTTGACCATTTTACACGCTATATCTGGTTCTATCCTCTGAAATTGAAGTCTCAGGTGATTCAAGTCTTTGCACCATTCAAAAATCTGGTGGAAAACAAGCTCAACCGTAAAATCAAAACCTTGTATTCAGACAATGGTGGGGAGTTCATAGCACTGGCGTCTTACCTGTCTCTCCACGGAATCTCGCACTACACAACTCCTCCGCACACTCCAGAGCACAATGGACTTGCAGAGAGGCGCCACAGACACATTGTGGAAACAGGCTTGTCTCTCCTCTCGCATGCCAATCTACCAACTACATACTGGAGTTATGCTCTTGCTGCGGCGGTCTATTTAATCAACAGAATGCCCACATCAACTCTTCACAATCAATCACCGTATGCATTACTGTTTCAAGAAGAGCCAAACTACTCCAAACTCCGTGTATTCGGGTGTCTATGTTATCCATGGTTGCGTCCGTACTCCACTAATAAACTCAGTCCTCGTTCTGCTGCTTGCATCTTTCTGGGTTATTCATTAACACAAAGTGCCTATATGTGTCTTGATCCTTCCACTTCTAGAGTCTATGTTTCACGTCATGTTGACTTCAAAGAATCCATTTTTCCATACTCTTCTCTCAGCTTGTCCTCATCTCACCCTAACAATGTCTCTGAAACTACTCCTCCACTAATGTTTTCTGCTTCTTTAGTTCCTATTTTCAGGTGGCCACTCACGACTCTGTCACAGGAAGCTCCTCCTGCTCCTCGATCTGAGAACCCTTCACCATCTACTCAAACGCTTGAACCCGAAAGTCAAGAATCAGTGGCTCTTGAACCATCAAATCATGAACCAGGAACGACATCAGCAACTGCAGGTGCTGCTCCATCTGCTCAGCGTATGATAACTCGGTCTATGAATCAGATCTAGAAACCAAATCCGAAATATGGCCTAACCGCTATCCTCCCAGAGATTGAACCAGAGACTATCACTCAAGCACTGAAAGACAAACTATGGCGTGGGTCTGCAACTAATGAATTCAATGCACTTATTGATAATCACACTTGGGATCTTGTTCCACCACAAGAAGATCAGAATGTTGTTGGATGTCGCTGGCTCTTTTGCACGAAATTTCATCCTAATGGGACTATACGCAAACGCAAATCACGTCTGGTTGCAAAAGGATATCATCAGCGACAGGGAATAGACTTCGGTGAAACATTCAGCCCGGTTGTCAAGCATGCTACTATCCGCATTGTTCTTGATATTGCTGTTGCGCGGAACTGGACTCTTCGCCAACTTGATGTGAACAACGCTTTCTGCAAGGTACACTCGAGGATGAAGTCTATATGATGCAGCCGCCTGGATTCATTGATAAAGACCGGCCAGATTATGTGTGTCGTTTACGCAAAGCCATCTATGGGCTCAAACAGGCGCCTAGGGCCTGGTATAATGAACTTCGCAACTTCTTATGCTCCATTGGTTTCAAGAACTCACTGGCTGATGCAT